ATAGTATCTTTTAAAACAGTGTATTTTAGTTGACATCTCTATGTAAAAAGAGCGGTGGTAGCGCTGTGGGAGAGCAGTTTCTTCTCCATTGAGAAGTCAATGGTTCAAATCTAAAAGTCGCAGCCACAAACCCGCGGAACAATGTATGCACTAGTTGTGAAACTAATATTAAAACAATGCGTTCTGGAAATCACTGAACTATAACCGCTCACGCGATACATGCAGCCGTAGACGCACACCACACCTAGAGGAGCCGGTGATGATTTTATACCGATTTATCGGATATCGAAGTTATAACAGGTAAAAGAACTAATATTAATTGCTATTTCGGTAACTACTCTAGCAAACCATAAAGTTTTTAATGCCTGGGTCTGTCATTTAAAAAAATAAACAACTTCAAAAATACGTCACGACAATCGTGTGTGTTATTGTTTGGGCTGTTGATTTCGGTATTTATTTATTGAAAACATACCGTAAGTAGCGTTTTTTAAGTTTACCCTGAATATAAATGTTTATAAACTATACTTTAAGGAGTAATTTCATGGTAAACGTTAGAACCACTCAAACGGAATATTATCATATTTATCCAAGTACACCAAAAATTTCATTAGTGCTTTTTAAGTGCAGGATTGGCGGTGTATTACTGCATTTTATTTGATATGTTTTTGTTGGTAGTACGGAGGGCATTTATTTAGCAATGCAGAATAATAATTTTTATTTATAAAAACTTGTATTTAAATTGAATGCTTTTCTAATTTGCGAAACCAAATAGCCGCCATTTTGCGGTAGGAGGAGCGCATCGCGTGAGCGGTTATATTATCAATACTATTCAAATGGTACGAAAATCAAAAATATTTCTAGAAATTCGAGACGCGGCGTATGCGAGAAACGTCGCAAAGCAATCAACGTGATTGCACGTCGCAGATTGCTGCGAATCCACGCCAGCATGCACCCACCAATCAACAACCTAATCGTGGACTGTGATGGTATCGACGCCGTCTACGTACACTAGTCAATCTGCAAATGATTATTTTACAGATCAGAAAGTGTGTGCTTTGATCTGTAAGTATTTGTCATCGTAGATTTCTATACGTATTCAGTTGGCATTTAAAATGCAGATATTTGTTTGTACGTCGAGCTAAAATCAAAACTATTGTTTCACAATAATATTGTTATGGATAGACTCAATCATGCAGTATCATTTGAAAAATGCTAATGATCTAAGTTCACATTATTTATTTATTTCGTACCGACCTCGATTGCAAACATATCATTCTATATAGCCTTTACGATGGCCTGGAGCCTACATAATATACAGTGACGGGCAGTGGGTTAAAACCCAATCAACTCACCCGGGTTTTTACCAGGTTTTTACCCAGATATTTGCCGTTTTTTACCAAAATCGTGGGTAGAAACGGCGAAATTTGGTATAATTTCACACTTATTACAAATTTCGATTTAAAAAATATTTTTTAGGCGAAAAAGAGGCAACTCCACACGATACCCACTTTGCAATTCTGTAGATTCTAACTACTGAGGATGCACATTAAATTCGATTTTTATGAAAATCGATTCAAGTGAATACGATCTAACGATTTTTTGTATCGATTTATTTCAATGCGATTTTTATTCGATTCATTAGAAAGGCAATTCGTATCGTCTAGTATCAATAATATCTTTCAATTTGAATAAAACTCGATTTACAACAAATATTTACTTTGGTTCTCGATTTTGGGCGTTAACGGGTTTAAACTAGATTTAAACCTGGCTAAAACCCAAGGTTAAAACTCAGACGCTTGTCTAACTCTAATAATATAACATGATGTAATTCCTTCATGTATTCAAGAGATTGATACCTAAACTAAGCAGAACTTGTTTAATAATGCCCAGAGCATTAAAATTTCTGATAATCGATTTATTTCAATTTGCTATTATCATAGAAATGAACTTCAATTTTTCGTTTCATCGGAACTTTTGTTAACTGACGTTTGATTGAGTGACACTTGCTCGAATAACTATTTGACGCATGTACCTAAAATTTCAGTAAATTGTAATACTGGGTGTTAATGAAAACGTTCTAATGTTTTTTTTTTTCAATCACATTACATATCGTCAACCCGTACACCTTCCACCGACGGGTATGAGTCTCGTCTATGAAAGTTAAAAACATTTTTATCATGTTGATCCAATGCGAGTAGGAGATATGACACGTCTGCGAAGACTGACGAAAATCATCTCCGCTATGGTTTTTATCACGATGTTATTCACCGTTACAGAAAGTAATAAAGATCTTGAAAATTTTGAAATATTCTATCTTAAAGATTTTTCAGATATTTGTATCTCATATTAGTTCTGACGAGGGTGCCTGAAGCCAATTTCGGTTATAAGTAATTAATTTTATTTTGTTTTCTGTTGTTTAGCTGATTTTAACTACATTTACGGCTCGAAGCCAATTCATATTCTTATTATTACCATGTTGTTGTTTCATAGTGCTATCCACAAAATATATACAAAATCTTAATTTGTTATATAGTCAATTAATTATATGAAAACGTATAATTGACTCGGCTGAGATGAACGAGTCAGAAACTTTAATGATTGCTCTCTGCGAATAAATATTTGTTCAAATTCATTATTCAAAATATACATTTCAAATTTCGTTGAACAGATGTTAAAATATATACCGATCACTAAGTACGTGGGAGTATCATATATATTAAAGTATATTTAATAAATATTTAAAAATAACAGCATGAATAGATCCTTTTAAGTGCATATATTTCAAATCGAAATTTCTTCGCATCACTGGCAGTTTTTCACGTCACCCGCTGTTGACTTCAATGAGCCCATTCATCTCAGCGAGCCAATTTATAGTTTTGCAGGACTTTTTAATAGCTTGGACGTTGTTGAACAATTTACAGTGAATAAAAGATTTTTTCAGTAGTACAGAGCGAGAGCGATGACAGCCCAGTGGGAACAGTTGTGATGACATGTACCTATGATTTTAATTTCTAATGCATAGCTCACCATCACGTCAAAGATGGTTCACAACTTTGGAAAACGAGAGAACTATGGTTTGTGTCCTGAATGAGACTCGGGTCCATTATAGGATAATGATGATGTTTGAAACCGCTACAAGGCGAGTTTAGGCAGCAAAAACTAAAATCGAAATTTGAGTAATACAATTAGGATCAAACACGACGTCATAAACAAGAATTATTATGATAAGGCTAACTATTGGTGTATTGTGTTTTATCCTTTGATTTTCAATTACTTACAATACAACGAACACATAATGTACAAGGAAAAACATAAAGCTACCCTTAAACAATAAATTCCATTAATAAAAATTTTATCGCTCTATTTTTATATGCATAATATAAAATTCTATACTAACGGGGTCATTGACCTCTGTGAAAAGTCTATCACTCTGCCACTTAGTACATTTCACCGACTGGAAATCCTGCCGCTGATGTTAGGAATAACGGTTGTAGAAAAGTTAAATGACATCCGGAGCTTACTCGTGTCTCTTAGGCCCGTGTTAATAAATCAGTCTCAGCTGTAGGATATATAAGTAAGATTATCATAATAGATATATCAGTAAAAGATCAAGTGCAAAGTTTTCGTCACTTGAGGTAACATTAATCAATATGTATTTTATTTTCATTAATCGGTAAATATTTTAATAGCATAAAGCTCCTTGTGAAAGGGCGTGCTGTCACCATATCTATTTCCGCCGTCGAGCCGTGATGTGACCATTACTGCGTCCCAAAGGTGAAATTACAGGCACATGGTACTTTTCAACTTTATATCTCAGGACGACGGGAGCAATGGCAGCGCCCTGAGGTCTTTACGATTTATCCCTCCGAGTGGCACTGCAACTGTTATGGGACGACGCAACTTGTTCATCCCGTCACTTGATATCATAAAAAATGGATGGATTTAGAGGCTATTTACTAAAACGGGCTTTTCAATTGGTTCTACAAGTATCTGGAGTTCCTAAAATCCATTACTGTCATATTTATATTATATAATTCATATCTAACGACTGTACAGCCAAGTCCGACTTTATTTTACTTTTATTATTATTTTATCTATTATTCTTTTATTATCTATTATTTTTATCGAGATGTACATTTGAGATATCTGAGTTAGGTTATTTAACGTTCAAAAGCGAATATATTCCACTAATATTTTATTAATAGAACAAGTTTCCAACGTGCGACATCTTAAGATGCGAAGACACATATAATTTGCTGATAACACACACAACACAATATAAAACTTTTTCTAATCCGAATTATTTGAATCGTCTCACAAAAAAATATTATATTCGGGACTCAATTAAACTCGTATCTGATATCGAGCTGAAATATTCCCTACTAAATTCATAATATATTATAGAACACAAAATTATTCTAGAACGCAATAAAAAATACAATTCAAAGGAATTATAATTCTTACAATAAGCAAGTATCGTAATTTCCCCCGTATTATGTGCAAATAAAAATATTATTTCGACCGGCGAAGTCGTAAAATTAAAACATTACTCTCATTTGATACTCAACACGAGTAGGCCAAACACTGTCGTAACTCAAAATTGTAGAATAGAGAGGACACGTTTTTGAAAAAAAAAATTAATGAAACCAATATATATATTTTGCGCTTATAAATGGATAATTAAATGTATAAAAAATAATCACATTATTCGCAATAAGATCCATTCAGTATTTTAAATTGTGTTTTCTCATTTGTGCAATTTGAGTTACGACAGTATTTAGTTTCTTAGATTATACTTTCTTGTTAAATTTGATATATTTTTTTTCAAGTATTGCTAAAAATTTTTATTTTCTAGATTAAACCTAATTTTCCATATTAATTCAATTTTACTAATTAAAACGTACCCATAAATTGATGTTACGTCAATTTTTTTATTAAAAAAATTATATTTGCACTTCATAATATTTAGACATAAATAATAATTAAACGGTGGTACTCACGGACAAAGATGTTGCTCATAAGCGTGGCAGGCAAACAGAATACGATGACCAGGATATCAGCAACAGCAAGGTTCACAATAAAGAAGTTCGTAACAGTACGCATTCGCGGGCTGCGGTACACGACGGCGATCACGAAGCAGTTACCCACCAGACCCACGATGAAGACCAGGAGATAAGCCACGCAATACACAGCCGTCATTGCCCCACTGTGCCTGTACATAAACTCGTCAGCGAGCACCCCCAAGTCCGACCTATTCATTGTATTGTTCATCTTTAAGTTATGATGATCTTTTTCCAAATGATTCGACAAAGGCTCCAAGTCTGGTAAAACACTATTTTCAGGAACAAATTTTGTGTTCATAACTTCCATGATGGAATTTGATAGAATTTCTACCACATGGGGCTTGTGCTCCCGATGTGAATGGTGCCTATTGTGGTGACGTGTCTCATGATTGGGATGTTGAGTTGAGAAGTTAAAAAAATCCGTCATGTCATTGGCGAATAAATCACCGCTTGGCACTCGTAACGGAGACATTTTTTCAGTCAATTTTTTTTTTCTAGTTGTGACACTATCGCACTAGACACAAATAAGTACATAAGTTCATCATTGAGAAAAGTCTACACATCAAACGTCAGCGAAACAAAATTCAAACGGCACTAAAAGTTGTAACAGTTAGAAAAGTATGAAAAGTTCCGTAGATGTAACGAAGCGATCCGTAGCGAGTCTACGCGTGTTGTTGTAGTGACGGTCGCGCGCCGTCTACGAGGTCCGATCGTAGAGGCGCTACGAACGGCGGCGTAGACTCCACGTCGACGCATGTGCAATTTAGTACTTCCCTGTTTTTACCAAATTCATACACCTTTTTACTCTTTAAGCTAAAGGTGTAAAGTCCAAATTGTTGAAGATCGAATGCAAATGTATTTTGAGGTATATGTGTGCATTCAGGGCCAATTGAAAATGTTAGCATTTCATGCATTTTGCATTGACCCATAATTGAATTTTTAGCTTTAAAATGTGAAATTGTGTGCCGAGTGTTTAGTAGTAAAATCACGTCAGTGGGCTACAACATTTCAATTTGTGTCCTGTCGTATTAAGCGGAACTTAAAATTAAACTTGGCCATTCCTAAAATGACATTGTGCACAATTTGGTAGATTATTTTTTAATAAACTATTATTAAAAAGAGTTAAATAGAATGACATTTATGTCATACTACAGGTCAATTGCTTTAGTGTGCAAATAGCAATATTAATTTAGCATGTTTTTACTCGTAAAATTTATTTAATTTTTTTAAGGTTCCTTACAACCAATTACTAATACAAAATCACGTAATTATTTTTATGGTATAAAACCTTCCCCAAGTGAGATAATAAGGCTAGATTTTAAAAGATTCAAGAATTTGAAGCTCTATTATTGCAGTTTGCAAGTTCAAAAGAGAAAAAAGGAATGGTCAATCGATAGGTCCTGGCGGGCCGCTCCTCGCGGCCCGCAGCCCGCGGCCCGCCACTGACCTAAAAACAGCGAGTTCAGGGTCCGTTCTCACACTATTGAGTACCACAGGTGAGCTGTATACAGCAGCACAAGGGAGTGAACCTTTAATTATACGGTCCCTACAATCCGATACATCGTCGTTTTCTTACGAAAATCGTACTTCTCGTTATTAGGAATAATATAAGAATTCCCTGTACTACAATTATCAGAACAACGATACCCAGAACACTGATAAGTAACAATTTAGATAGTTTGTTTCCTCAATAGGTGTTGCTAATCGCTCGTTCAGCAAGGTCTTCAGAGCATTTAATTGTTTTAACTTAAATATATTTTTTCATCTGCTCAGAGCTCAACTAAGTGAAAAAACATTCCTTTCAAAATTGAATTCTTTGACGAGATTACCAAACATACAAAATGAATCTATCACAAATATTTACAAGCATTTTGCAAACACTTCTCTTCGTACAACACGAAAGCACATAAAATATTGATTGGTATGAATATATACAAACGAAGTGAAACATATCTTTAACTAGATGAAATTGGAGATAGAAATTTCTGTTTTCTTTTCTTCTATATAAAGGATATTTATCGTACCCATTACGTTTGCTTAATGCAATGGAAGTGCAATTATGAGCAATCATTTAACGAGATAAACACAGTTATCTATAGATAGAAATTGCAACCATTTTGTGCTGAAACAGCCTGGACTCAGCATAGATGCGACGGACCGTGACAGTCTATAGCTCTGTTTATTCTTTCAGCACCATTTAGTTAAACGATCGCATAAATACAGGCAGTGCCTTTAAAAAGCGTCACACGCAAATATGTAACTCAATTTTAATTATAACCATTCATTCAAAGATTGAAAACGAAGAAAAATTCCTTCCACTTGACAAGACTCGAACCCGTGACCACGTCAAACCAGGGCGATGTTCTACCAACTGAGCTGCTGGTCGGGTCAGCTGATCTTACGAATTTCTCATGTGTTTGTTATTGATTTTTGTATTGGGTTTTTGCGACTTTTAGCCGTCGTGTAACCGTCGATTATAATTAATAATAATAATGTCCCAGATAATCACACTAATTATTATAGTCGGTTTTTTTGTATATTATGTAGACATCAAACAAGCATACGGTTCGCCTGATAGAAGGCAGTCACCGTCGCCTATAAATACCTGCAACAACAGGGGCATTACGAGCGCGTTGCCAACCCTTTAGGACCCCTTTTTAAACCCCATTTGAAGGACTTTGAAGGACTGTATTCCTGCGGGAAAACCCCAACAGGGAGTTAATTCCACAACCTAATTGTACGTGAGAGAAAGCTTCTCTGAAACCGTACAGTGCGAGATCGAATCGGTTCCAGAGGGAACGAACATGTTTGTTTTTGTATCACAGACGCCACAGGTTCAGATGGTATGCTTGACTTCTCCTGGATGTGTATCCAGTAATTTTTGGGGAAAACCTTGTTTCTTCGTCGTTACTATTTATTAAAAAACAACCTTAAAAACCTACGACTTTACTAATTCTTTTTAATTGTAAGACAGAGAGGTGTTTTTAAACATGTACAGGCTGTCCCACGGCAAAGCGTCACTTGGGGAAAATGCTTGAAGTATTGTAGATAAAATGCGCCACGGATACATTATTTTATTTTTAAACGTAAGCAATACTGCATTCAGACTTTTGAAAATTGCTTTCCTCATCTGGAAATCGATACGGCCAAATGTGACAAAACAAATGTGATAAAATATTTTTATGATGTCGATCCTGAAGATCAATTATGACATATTATTTCTTTTTTAGTAATAGCATCTTAGAGTAACCTCCGTGTCGCATAGCCAGCAGTCATGTAGAGGTATGACGTGTACTTTACTTTATAATGGTTGTTTATGGCTAAACGAAATTATTTTTTTATAATCTATGATTTTTGTGTATGTGATCTTTGGGTTTGTTTCGAAAGTAAAATGTGTGTAGACTAACTTTTGTCATTGCGGAATGATTAAAATTTCTCTGAGTAAAATTGTATTTTATATTTATATCAAGACTAGACCTACTACAGTCCACTAATCGAAGAATATAACAATGGTAACTATTTATATTTCGTATAATATATTATTAGTGAAAAGGTGAAAAGCGCCTTATAGTACACCTAACAGCATAGAATTTTGAAGTCTCGAAACGACTCCTAAGCTAAAAATAGTACGAGAAAGTGCCGGTTTATCAAATTACTGAAGGGTCGAATAAGTGTTCAGAAGAGAAACCTAGATGGATTGATGCAGGGAAAAATATAACTGTATATAACTCATTCTCACTGAAAGTGGTGTTTCAGATTTTTCATCAAAGTAGAGCATGAGCTTATAATAAATTATTTAGATGTACTATTTCATAACGCATTTGGTTATGATACTTGTGCTACGTATTTTGTTCAGTTTGTTATTAATTAATTAATGTTTCATTATGTAATTTTCCATTTTATTTCATAATAATTTTGCGTATAGAGACAAATTTATTTTCATATTTCAAGTTATTAAGCTTAAGGAAATATAGGCAATGAAACTATTTTTTCATCTACTTTTTTTATAATATTAAGTGACGGGACGAACAAGTCATGCACCTGATAGTAAGCTACACGCCTGGCCATAACAGCTGCAGTGCCACTCAGAGCCTTAAATCGCAAAGATCTGAGGGGCACTGTCACTACGCCCGTCACCTTGAGTCATAAGTTGACAAGTCTCATGTGCCTGTAATTTCACCAGTACCCTTAACTTTCAAAACCACAAAACGGTAATGCTGCCTGGCGTCCGAAATAGGTAAGGTAATTCGCGTATATTTGTTTTAATTTTTTCAAATGAACTAACATTTAGGCTTCTTTAAAGAAGTTCTCACGGTCACTGATTGATTTTGAAGCATTGTCTAATATTAATTCAAACCACCCCATTACTGAACTATATTTATAAAATCATTAATTCTAAACCACTATAGTTTTAATTTAGTACACACGATTTATAAAACTTTTTTTTAATAAAAAGAAAAATAGAGAAAGCAAAATAAAACTTATTAACGAGTCTATAGTCTAGGTTTACTTTGTTTGAAAGTTTAGAGTTTGTAGGCCTGTTTGTAAAAAAAAATCCAAATATATGCGATTCTAATCTGAAAAAAATATTTCAGTAATCGCGACAACTTATAGTGTAAAGCAATAATTATCTCATCATTGACTTTGCATTTTCTCTTATTTGCACCGTCATTCGTTAGGTCCAGTCTAGCGGTATGGCGTTGGGGATTAGCGTAAAAATGTGGCGTAGTAAATTAAAATCTGAGATCGCTTTCGATACCGAACATTCGAGTTGAAAGCTTCACGAGAAGAAAAAGGTATAAGAATGTTAATTTTGTATTGTGTAAACTGCTATATCTTTTCCTAAAAAAATGTATATGTACTTCACAATGGAAGAATCTGAGAGCAGTACTGATTATTATAAATTCTAATATTAGATAATTAATGTTTATTTCCAACATAAACTAGTATTGAACTAATGTCTGAACTGCCTCTGTGGCCGAAGGGTTACCATGCTGGACTGCCACGCAGACGTCCCGGGTTCGATTCCCGGGCCGGTATTTTGAATGGCCTACATTTATTTGTCTCGTGAGTTTGAATATAATTTGTAGTTATCTATGTATGTATCCATGGCCATAGTTTTCCTAGTGCAGGGCTATGAGTGTGTGCATTATTATTATTACAAATTGTAGGTAAGTAGTACTTATGTACTTTTCTAGCAAAACATTAGAAATAAGTCTTTTTTGCTCGATATTTCCGTTGACGTCCATGATTATTATTAAACGTAACTTAAAATCTAAAGAGCGTAAGGATATCACAAATCTTTCTACTGAACGAACTATTGAGATTTCATGTGTGGAATTGAATCAGTTTGTCGTCTTATGTGTATACAGGCCCCCCTCTGCTAATTTTCTTACTACCGAGTTTGAATTAATTATGAAAGACAGTTTAAAGTGGATTTTTCCAACCAAAAAAAACGTAGTAATATGTGGA